CCAGGGAGGAGGTTATATGTAAATCCTTGTCATCGGTTCCCCCTTTCCACCCCACCCTCCCTCCACCCTCATATCTCCTGCCTTAAACAGAGAACTTCCCCTGGACCTCACACACACCCCTTGTTACTACTACTCCATTTCTCTGCCCCCTTGACACTAAATTCATGAAATGCCATAAGATTTGCTCTTTCTATCTCTTTGCCTCCCAATCGGATTTTCATTCCCATTACTCCACCACCATTCTTGTCAGTCATCAGTAACTTGCACATTGTCAAATGATCATTCCTTTGTCCTTATTTTACCAATCCAGTTGGTCACTCTCTTCATCCTAACTCACTTCTTTCACTTTGCCAGCACGACAGCCACCCCCTCCACCCCCATCCCCCCATCTTCTAAGGCACCTCTGGGTAGGTTTCAATGGCTAACTCATTGGCTAATGGCCGAGAACCTAACCATGTGTGCCCCCCTCAGGGACACCCAAGTTGCCTATGAAGAGTTCACGGAAAACTGAAATGAAAAGGTAACAGAATTTTTCCACCATCCTTTTGAAGCACCCCCGTATATGCATTCAATGGTTTACCCATTGACTCCTCGACTCTTGGTTTTTTGGTTTGAGCTTATACAAATGATTATATACTAATTAAAAGTGGACAGTTTGCACTCACTCAGAGGTGACTCAAAAGGAAAGACTGGTGGTGATTAGTTTCCCAGAGATCAGAGCCCTGAAGACCCCATGGAGCACAATTCTACGCTGACACATGGTGTTGCCATGAGTTGGAATTGACTTGATGGTATCTGGTTATAAATAGTATGTGGCAGTTACATCATCTCCTGTCAACATGAGGCAAGGGGTGGAGTCTAGCCTGTCAATCAGGCCATAGCCAATGAGGCCTCTGTGTGGGCCTGACCTTTTCCTGAGGATTCTGGGAAATCCCGTCTTCCTCCCTGAAAGCAGACCCGGCACATAAGCCACTACGCCATCCGGGCTCCTCAATCAGGAAGAAGTGACATGGAAGCTGAGCCCTCCAAGATGACCAGGCATTAGCCAGGTGACCAGTGGAAGGAAGGAAGGCAAGTTCCAGCAAAACGGAGGTCTAGAGGGTGCTGAAACTTTACTGCCAAGGACACCAAGAGGTGCTGGTGAAAATAAAACCAAGACTATTATTAATGTCTGGCTGGACCTGGCAAAAAGAGCAGGAAGTCCCCAGATGCTAGGAATATAGAGGGAGCTGATCGGGAGTCGAGAGACCCTGCGTATGAGACTTGGGTCCCCCTGCATGGCACACAGGGTTAGGCACTTGGCTCAAAATCCTAACCCAGCAGGGAAATGCCCTTTTCTCTCACTCTGTTTTGGCAGTTCTGAGGCCAGGGCTGGAAGGCCCAGCTGCTCCCTTTGTTGATCAGCTGATTAAGGCCACACTCTAACCCAGCAGTTCTCAACCTCTCGATCGCGACCCCTTTGGGAGTCAAATGACCCTTTGACTGGGGTTGCCTGATTCATCACAGTAGCAAAATGACAGTGATAAAGTAGCAACGAAAACAATTTTATGGTTCAGGGTCACCACCACATGAGGAACTGTATGAAAGGGTCGCAGCATGAGGAAGGTTGAGGACCACTGCGACCGTTTCCCTGATCAGGATCTCATATTCCTTAGCCACAGAACACTCATTATAATCACAGCCAGTGCCAGCCACAAGGGCCACCCCAGGTCTGCAAAAGTATTCCACATGCCCACTCCTCAGGAAGCCAAGGAAACCTAGCAATCCTGCCCTGCTTACATATGCGAGCCCTCTCGGATAATGCCGACCTGTTGTTCCAGCGTGTCCCGTGCAGCCCCACGGGGCCCGGTGTTATGACGTGCTGGCCCCAGGAACTGCATGACAGGTCTTGTGACTTTTCACAGCCTCCTGACTTCTCTTCCCCAAATCACACCAGGCTGGTAAAGCTGGTGAGAAATAAGCTAACGGCTCTGCTCCTGAGATCACAATCCTTCCCTTTATACAAAATCGATCATCTCCTGTATCAGGCAAGCATGCTCTCTGATATCAGGGGTTTCTACTAACTTCATTCGTGGAAAAAAGAATTTTAAAAATAGAGGTTTTCTTGTTTGCACACTACTATGCGTTAGGTGAAGGGTTGCTTCGTTTGTATGCAGCAATTCATACGCATTCCGATTCAACTCATCATTGCATCCCCTGCGTGTCCCTGACCGTGTTTCCAGTTCTTCCTCTGGACTTTGCCCTCGGGTAAACATTGCCCTTTCCGCCTTGAGGGGTTCACTCTTGTAATACGGGGATGAGTTCAGTTCTAGATCGGATGGGCGGGGGCACCGGTCTCGACATCGAAGCAGTAAGCCTGGTCTCTTTATGACCTTGAATTGTGTTGATCATGAAGTCCACTCTTATCTCCTGTTTGTTTGTTTTAAATCATTTTATTAGGGGCTCATACAACTCTTATCACAATCCATACATAGATCAATTGTGTAAAGCACATTTGTACATTCATTGCCCTCATCATTCTCAAAACATTTGCTCTCGACTTAAGCCCCTGGCATCGGCTCCTCAATCCCCCTCCCCTTCTTGCTCCGCCCTCCCTCATGAACCCTTGATAATTTATAAATTATTATTTTGTCATATCTTGCACTGCCCGACATCTCCCTTCACTCACTTTTCTGTTGTCCCTCCTCCAGGGAGGAGGTTATATGTAAATCCTTGTCATCGGTTCCCCCTTTCCACCCCACCCTCCCTCCACCCTCATATCTCCTGCCTTAAACAGAGAACTTCCCCTGGACCTCACACACACCCCTTGTTACTACTACTCCATTTCTCTGCCCCCTTGACACTAAATTCATGAAATGCCATAAGATTTGCTCTTTCTATCTCTTTGCCTCCCAATCGGATTTTCATTCCCATTACTCCACCACCATTCTTGTCAGTCATCAGTAACTTGCACATTGTCAAATGATCATTCCTTTGTCCTTATTTTACCAATCCAGTTGGTCACTCTCTTCATCCTAACTCACTTCTTTCACTTTGCCAGCACGACAGCCACCCCCTCCACCCCCATCCCCCCATCTTCTAAGGCACCTCTGGGTAGGTTTCAATGGCTAACTCATTGGCTAATGGCCGAGAACCTAACCATGTGTGCCCCCCTCAGGGACACCCAAGTTGCCTATGAAGAGTTCACGGAAAACTGAAATGAAAAGGTAACAGAATTTTTCCACCATCCTTTTGAAGCACCCCCGTATATGCATTCAATGGTTTACCCATTGACTCCTCGACTCCTTGAACAGCACTTGGGCACATAATAGAGGCTCAATCACTGTTGTGGAATGAGTGCCATTTAAAACACTAACACACAAGGAAATTGTCCTTAATACATGAGAATCAGAATACATGACAAAAAGAAGTAGAGCTTTAGAAAATAGAAGAGGATCTACTACTAGACTATTTTATAAATTCCAAATAGTTGTAAAAGATGGTGCAGAGTACCATATAGATAGTTACGAGCACAGATAGTACAGCAAGGTAGCTTGTTTTGGGATTCCAGCTCCACCAATTAGTAACTGTGTGAACTTAACGACTTACGTAACCTGTTACATCTGTAAAACTATGGCTCTCATAGAATTACTGTGAGAAGTTAATGTGTATATAACCCTCAAAACAGTGTTGGGTACACAAGCCATTCTCCTCTCTTCTTTTTGCTATAATTATTGATAAAACAAAGACATCAAGAAAACAGTGCACGTAGCACTCAAGAGAAACAAATGAATATTTATGTGCTTTGGGCTGCAGGATGCCTGTTGCACCTTTAGTCAGAGCCCCATGCTCATGGCACAAAGAACACCAGAGTCTGTCGACTTTTAAATCAGGAAGCAAAATAGCTTTCCTGACACCTCACTCAAGGGACTAGCAACTTAAGGGCTACAATTATGCCCCATGGTTTTGAAATGCCATCCCACTAGTGGTATTTATCAATTTCTATTTCTCATCTTTGTCAACATTTAATATTGTCAGATTTTTAAATTTTGGCCATTCTACTGAGCACACATGCAATGGTATGCTGTTGGATTCATTTATATGACTGGAATTGCCAATCTGTTTAGTAACATGATTCAGGTTTCTTTTACTGTGACAAGCTGGTTTACTAGGACTGCCCAACAACCAACCACCAAGTCTCAACGTCGGACAGTAATCTCTGTTTAGCTCACACACCTGTGAGGTGGCTGTTCTAGGCTGGGCTTAGCAGGACAGCTCTGCTGATCTTGCCCATACCCACCCACTTATCCTTGCCTCGATCAGCTGATTTAGGTCCACCTGAAGGGGTAGTGTGTCTGGGATGGTTCTTCTTCATGTGTCTCACATCTTCCACCTGGGGCCAATGGGCTACTCTGGACAAGTCCCCACGAGACTGGCAGACGTGCAGTACATGAAGTCTCTCAAGGTTTACGCTCACCGTTACTTCTGACATAGTCCATCAGTCA